GTTGATAGTATCAACACCACATTGGCGTCATCATTGAATGTAGGAATAACATTGAGTGACCCACCAATGAAGCATACACTCGCCTCCGATGCATACGACAACTTGTCGTCGACAAGTAACTACTACTCCGATTACAATCATGCACATTGTAACAAATCTAAGAGAAAAACAAATCAAAGCCATAGAAAGAATCTCAAAGTAGCGAGATCGCCGAGCTGCCGTATAGGCTGTTATACAAGGCGACCAAACAACCGCACTGTTATACAGATGAAGGCTGTTATACGAGACGTTGAAGCTTCCCCTGTCATTTATCACTGTTATATACGCAACACAATCGTGATGCAAAGTAAAATTATTGGTTAAAGTTTGAATGCGGGAGGTAAGGCTGACTCAACATCCCCAATCCGGCAACGTTGATGCTAAACCTCCCACTAAAAGGACCCAAATATTCAAAAGTTGACAGTAACTTGGTCTTGTTGGAATTACATATTCATTGAGATCGTCAAACATAGAGAATCCCTTTCTGCCTACTGGTTCCTGAAGACCGTCCTCAGTGTCTTCCCATAGGTCTCTAGCATTCTGTAAACTACTAACGTCTGGTCGTTCGGATCTTGCGCATCGTGGAATTCGATATTCTCCAGATCATTAAGAGTGTATCTCGAGTTGGCGTCGAACCTGCAGTTACTCAGAGCATAAGCCAGAGTAGTGGAGCTATAATCAGGCTTCACCCAAGAGGCACCATTCTCCTCAACCATCTCGTACGGAACATCTTCGTAATATAGACGGCAACCACCAAGTGTGATATCCATGGTGAAGTTTCCGGGTTTTTGAAGGAATACCAAAACGCTTGAGCCTTCTCTACTGTCATCTTTATATAGGCCCGATGGATGAGGCTTAGTCGGGACTGTAGGAGTTGGGGTAGTAGGAAGGGGAGTTGTAGGTGTTGTCGGCGGCGGCCGAGTGGGAATACCACGGAGCTGGAACTTCCAATCGGTTGTCCCGTAGGTGGAAATCTCGCTCATGGGAACGCCTTGCTCCGAGGAAACGAACAGATGTGCAAATGCGCCGCCGTTGATATCAGAGTCGCGACAGTTGTCCACCTGTGTCGTGAAATCTGTTCCGCTGAAGTCGGGTACCACGAAGAGCTCATCGTCGAGATCGTGTCCCTCATGATTGCGAAGAGGGCCAATGTGATAGGGAACGTTCCGAACAGAGGCAGTGCAGCTACCGAGCTTGATAGTCAAACTCATCAGAAACAGGTTCTCGTAGAACTCGATAGTGCTAACAGAGTCTGAACGTTCGCTACTCTCGTAGGTCCCCACGGGGTGGGCCTCATGTGCTGGAGTAGCAGGAGATCGAGTCGGGTAGGCCGGGGGTTGAGGGGGACCACCAGCAAGACCAAAAACCCAGTCTTCACCACCAACCATAGAAGCCGTCACCCCATTCATCGAGCCGCCTTCCGAAGATGCACGGAGACGTCGGAATTGGGCACTTCTCACAACCGCGTCATTACAGCTGTCAAGCTTTGTCGCGAAGTTCGTGGAGCTGTAGTCGGGGACGATCCAGAGTTGGCCATTAGAGCCAGGGATCGGAGTAACGTGATACGGAACGTTATAGGCAGTCGCGACGCAGATATCCAGCCGGATAGAAATGGAAAGAGTTTGCTGCTGTTGATGGAATATCAGAGATCCGCCCGACCCATCACTCATGGAAGTATAAAAGCTTCCCACGGGGTGGCTCATCGGTGGCGCATACGTAGTGGTAGTTCGGACCGGCGGAGACCTCGTAGTTGGGCCTGGCACGGGACGAGTGGGACCAATGGCTAACCAGCAGTTCCACGAAGACCCCCTTACACCGCCACTGATAGTGATGTCGCTCATGAGAACACCCTTGTTGGATTCGACGTGTAGACTGTCGAAGAAGTCGGCATTAATAGAAGGATCTTGGCAAGCAGCGAGGCGTACTTTAAAATCAGTAGAGCTATAGTCAGGCTTGACCCAATACTCGTAGTTAGAACCGGGGATGGGAGTTATGGTATAGGGGACGTCAGAGGCCGAAACACCACAGGACCCGACCGTGGCACTGATGCGTAGCACCTGCTTATCTTCGTCGAAATCTAAACGACCACCGTACCGGTTTGATCCCCTGCAACCGAAAGCGCCCATAGGATGGCTCTCAGGGATTGCTGGGGTGGGCTGCACCGTAGTGGTAGGAGCTTGTGTAGTTGCTGGTTGCGTGGGG